GAAAGAGGCAGAGTGAAGGGGGAGGGGATAAACACAGGGAGGAGAGATGGAGAGCAGACAAACAAAGAACGATAAAAGGAAAGTAAGGGAAAGTATGGAGTGTGGAGTGAAGATGAAGGCAAAAGAGGATAAGAAAAGGCTCAAGAATGAGTCTGTCCTTCACGACAGAGAGGACATGCATTGTATATTCTCAGCAATAACAATTCAGAATGAGCAGCATACATACCTCAGCATTTTTTTGTACCAACAGCCTGCGAATCATCTCTTGCTCCCTGGCATACTCTAGCTCCGCCGAGAGCTGAACTTGACGGCTCACCTTGACATCACAGACTTGTTGCTTGCGTTCACACATGATCCGCTGCTTTGCCCGCGGAGGCATTGACTTGTAATGGTCTTTGCGGTAGCGATGAGGCTGGATTCTGTTGATCTGCGAAAAGAAGAACAAAATGTAAAACTGCACAAAGGTAAGAAATACCAGCTGCGACTGCCAAACTGCACAAAAGCGATGCCACACTGGCAATGACCACTAAGGTAGGACTCACAATAATTAATTGGGCTTTTTTTCTGCACTCTATGTGGACCTACTTCGGTCTGATACGTCCTAGAAACCCCCCCCCCCCCTCCCCACTTGTGAGTATTCCTAAAAGAGCCTTTACCCCAACATAAAGGGGCCCTCTCGGCCTGAGCTCAATTTCATGAGTAACATTCCAAACGACAAGTTCCTGAGGCAAATGTTGCATCCAGAATGAATAGAAAAATCGTTTTGAACAGTCACGGACAAGTCCTAGACGAACAGGTACCGGACACAGACTTCAAGACTGAGATAGAGTCATGTCTGTTCGGCGATAAGTCATGTCCGTTCGGCAATAAGTCAAAGGCCACAGTCCCAGTCCAGTCACAGCTTCACGGGTCAATCCTGATTCAGACCAGGAGTCCGAAAGACAGGCCCGAAGGCCCAAAGCAGCAGCAGACCATGGGGAAAGATACTGGGACACACACTTTGCAACAACAGGTACTGGGCAGAAGTCCCAGACACTCGGAGGCCGAATTCAGACCTCGCCAGTCCAGTCCAGCGGTATAAAGGACTGGCCAGCCTCTTCAATTGGACAGAGGCTCATTTCGCATGAGAGTGTGGAAGTGCCGTGGCACTTGTGCGCCAGATGTGTGTGAGCTGCGCTAAGCTGTGAGCAGCGCTAAGTAAGAGAGAAGTGGGGCGTTGGCTGGAAGGAAGGCAGCCATAGCTGCACCAATGCCAGCTAGTACATTATTAGGGTTAGTTAGCAGGATAGTCCAGTGAGAAGTATTCAGAGTGGATCCTCGTGTGATAGGGACTGTGCATGGTGAGTGTGAGTAGACCAGGACTAGAGAGAGAGAGAGAGAGAGAGAGAGAGAGAGAGAGAGAGAGAGAGAGAGAGA